CCCCCTCACTGTAAATAAACTGTCTTCACCGTAACTCTGCCTCCGTGCGTTCTGCTTCCTGGGTCCATCTGCATTTGCCACAACACTGTGGTATACCTCAGGGTTCCAATCTGCACATAATGCTGTTTTCATTGTGTATGAAAACATTTTCATTGCATTAAAATGCACACTTGAGTGTATATTTAAAAAACTACTTGCACACTGATGACACTCAGATATACAGCCTCTAAAACCAGGTGGTGCCTACTCATTCACCTTTTGCCTGCTGAGGTTGAATCCTGGCTCTTAGTTGTATCCCATCCGTCTGTGAGAACGACACTTTCCACCACCCACTCAGATTTTAATCTCCTGACACTTGCTCTGTGGTTTGTGACTGGATTAAAGTTTAACAACTATCGCGTATACCTTTTTTAAAACAGTGTAGACATTGGATTTATTTGTTCAGTGTGTTGAAGTCCAGTGTATACTGAAAGGTAAACGCACAGGCAATATAAGCTATTCCTGCTTTTAAATTTTGATTTATATTAAAAAAACGATTAAAACACATGTGTACAACTCTTTATATACCCCTAGTCATTTTTTATAGAAATTGTAGCGTTTATATTTTATTTTTATTACAGTATCACTATTATAGAAACTACAATAGCAGCCAGTCATAAGTGGTTTGTCTTTATTGATGTGCAGCAAATATTTGCATATTTAAATGAGAGCGCTTGATTTCTGAGCCTGCAAACACATAAACTCAAACATGTTTGTGAAATTATAATGTAAACACACATGTTGATCAACATATTCTTTTAATAAATAATATTGTCATGAAAAACAGAAACACCGAATAACAGCTTGTGTACATTTGAACAGTGCATGTTCATATTTTTTCTTGATATCATTACATGACCAGTCAAACCAAAGATCGGCACATTATGCAAAAGAAGATGAGATTTAATTTAGTATAGGTGGGCAGGCAACTTACACGAACACCAAAAAAGTTCTGATAACAGTAATTACTTGGTAAGGTTGGACGGGTGAGGGACTGGGGCGTCATCACTCTCCTAGTCCATGAAGCCACCGTATCTCTTCTGTAGCTCGCCACCGTTCTCCGAAGCTCGCTTCATCACCCCTTCATTCTTGCTGTCCACCAGCCACTCGGGCCGACCCACACGCCTCATGAAGCCTCCGTAGCGTTTCTTGAGGCCTCGGCCCAACACTGCCTCTAGCAGGTCACCCTGCGCAACCTCCCCTTCAGCCCGACGCATGAAACCTCCGTACCTCTTTACTACCTCACCTCCCTGATCAACCCCCTTATTGCTACGCCCAATTTCTGTATTAAGGAACTTTAGGATGTCCAGGTGGAGGTTTTCTTCATCGTTCTGGTTTCTGGTTTCCTCTAGTGAGCCGTCTGTAGAGGATGAGCGGCGAGACATGAAGCCACCATAGCGTTTCATGAATCCACCATACTTCTTGGACATTTGTTGTTCTGGTGATCTTGCAAACTCATCATCAGTGTTCAGGGTACCTTCTGCTTCCTGCGCCCCCTGATCATTGGGGTAAGCATCCATTGGGATGCGGCCTTCCTCTTCCAGCAGTAAGTCCTGGCACAGGCGCAGCTTCTGGCTGTCCAACCCACCATCACACTGAGGAGAGCATGTCTGGAAAAAAAAATCAAAATTGCTATCAAGTCTTTCATAAATGCAACAGCTTCCAAGTACAACTCGCTGTTTTATCCAGTTCAATATTCATTTGAATCAGTTTTCAGCTTGAGCTGGACACATTTAGAAGTCCATGCTGAACCATCTTTCTTCAAAAACATCAATAAACTATCAATAATGATGAACAACTGTTCACATTAGGGATGCACCGATACTGATACTGGTATCGGGTATTGGGGCCGATACTGTAAAATGTG